GCAATGACCTCTGCTAATTCCCTCAGCACTCTGGGGTGGAGGTCGTCAGGACCTGCTGATTTAAATACGTCCAGTCCCTCCAGAAGTTCCCTGACTAGATCCTCACTGACCCTGGGCCTGGGTGTGCCTCCCTCGGGGCCTGAGGGGGTCCCAGTGGACGGGCTGATCTGGTCCCTGTTGAGGAAAATGGAGGCAAAGAAATCGTTAAATAGGTTAGCCTTGTCATCTGGTGCGACAACCTGATTTCCTAGTGTGTCTTGCAGAGGTCCCACATTACCGAGTATCTTCTTTTTGCCCCCTATGTATTTAAAAAAAGACTTCTTCTTCTCCTTGATCCGGGTAGCTAGTCCCAGTTCCATCTCCGCCTTGGCCTTCCTGACCGCCCCCCTGCAGCCCCGAGCAACCGAGGTATAGTCTTCCCTGGTGATGGCCCCTCCCTTCCATTGGGTGTACGCCTCCCTTTTAGCCAGGAGACGTTCCCGTATGTTTTTGGTGAGCCATGGGAGCTTTTGCGCCCTCTTGCCCCCTTTGACCCTTGTTGGGATTACCTCCCTTTGGGCACGGAGGATTGTCTCCTTAAGGATCGACCACTCCTCTTGGACACCCAACTCTCCTCCCCTCCAGGACCTCAGTACTTCCCCAACTATTCTTCTTACCTCATTGAAATCCGCCCTCCTGAAGTCCAGGGCTGCTGCCTTGCTGCTGGCTTTTGCCACCTTGCGCTGGATGGTGAATTCCAGCAGGCGATGATCACTGTCGCCCAGGTGTCACATGATTAAAGTCAGACACATGACTAAGTATGTGGCCGGACTGGTACCAATGGCTGGATGGGAAAGTCCTCTAGGTTCTAACATCTCTTGGATTTAAATCAATCAGATTTAAATATTTATAAGCCATGCAATTTAGCGTGTTTAGTTGCTCTACCCACGTCTTCCTCCTCCTCCACGCCTACGCTGACCACCACTTCTTTTCCAAATCCAGTTCAGGCCTGTACACAAGTGTGGAGGCTGCTCTGACATGCTGTAATTACAGCACGTCAGAGCAGACTTGGTTAATCAAGTCTGTTGGGACGTGGTAATTATCGTGCTCCAGCAGCCTCCCATGTCTCAGTTATCCATGTTCCCACACTTCAAAATGGCAGCAGGGGCACTTGTACTAAAACTCATCAAACAAGCTTTAGTTCAAGTGCCCCCACCACCATTTTGAAGTGCAGGGATGGTGATACAGAAGATGCTGCAGCACTTTAATTAAAGCATCCCACCAACCCCCTGACCCCCAGAGCAAGTGTGAAAGTGCCCTATATGCTTATCTTCCAGGTCTTGTGCAAGGCTGCCTGTCCCTGTATCTTTGCCCTCATCTCTGCCTAAAGCTTGTCCTGACTGCTATACTCCCACTGTCTCCTGGCCCAGCTCCCAGCACCTCATCCGTGGAACAGCCTTTCCACTGACATCACCCAGTTGCCTCCTATGTCTTCTTCAAAA